GATAAATCAACAAATATATGTGGAGGACCACTCTGAGTGATCAGTGGGGTTGTGAGATGTGTCAGCAATGGTGGGTATTGGCCAGTGCAAGGAGCTCACTGGTTAGCTCGAGAGTCATAAATGGTTTCCCTGAGGGATAAACAACACACACTATATGGGCGGAAGCCTGGTGGATGGCATGATTACTATGCACAATAGGAGTGTAAAGAGGTGAAGATTACTGGGCACTGGCATAGTCCACAAGATTGTAATGAGAATACAGGGCATTAGGGCATTATGGACATTAGGCACGGTGAGCAAGGTGAGGGATGAGGAAGCTGAGCCTATTTTGTGAATTCTGGATGATTGGCATGCTGCCTTGAGGGGCAGATTTCTGTGGGAAAGTATTAGGGACACAGCAGTGAGAATTACTGAAGGAGAAAGAACATGAAACTCAGGTGAAAAGTGAGAGTTTTAGTGCTGAATTTGGCTGGTGAACATAAAGTCATTGACAATTTCAGCTGGAAAGAATTTTGGAGATGATCTGGTATAATAGTCAACACATTGATAGATGAGGAAGCTCAGACTGAATGTTAGGGTTTATCATAGATGACTCCTACTTAGTGGCAGAGCTGGGAGGACCCCCCTTTCCTATTCTCTCTCTACTCTTTCAGATAGTCACCAGGAAGGATGGTTAAAGCTTGAACACTGTGTATACTCTGGAGCTCTTCTTGTCTTGGATTGGTGTCTGTTGAGGCCTCTACCAGTCAGAAGGGCATTTCCCCTGCAACCCAGCCTTGCCTGCAGATTTACAGAAGGGCTTTGATAAGGAGCATCTGTTGGAAGCCCAGTTCCTGCTTTGGGCCTGCTGTTTTCCATTTCATAAAAAGGAATGTGAAGATAATTTAAATTTTATCTTTATTATAATTTTGTAAGATATAAAAGCCTGTGATTTTTTCCTAGGGGGAATTTACAAATAGAGTAGAAAGATTCAAGTAATTCTTGTCAGAAAGGAACCATTCATCTATAACTTCTCCTAGAATCTGTTTTGCAGATGATCAAATATATGGGGCAATGTTTCTATACCAAATTTTATTTTTTAGTGTTTTTCTTACTACAGCAAAAAAAGTAAAACAACTTACATGTCACAAAGGAGAAGTGCAGATACAAATTGTTAAAGCCATGAGGTAATATGTACAATAAAGTAAATGTTAAGAAAATGTTTGTAATACAATGGTATGTGAGGAAACCAGGATAACCGTGTATAGATATATCTCCAAGATTTTGGAATGCCCACTCTGGAGTTCCAGTATTGCTTACAATCTCCCTCATAATTCATCCACTTGCCCAAGGGTAGAGAGCAGCAGGTCTGGCTGAGATGAGGGAGGTCGTGGAGCTGCTTCCCACACCCCAGCATCCTAGTATGGTTTCCTCAAAATAAGTCACCAGCTGTCAGTGGGCTTTTGGGGGTCACTGGTGCAGAGTTAGAGTTATGAATGCCAGGAGTCTGATTCTAAATATATGCTAGTTACAACAAGTTTTTAAGAGAAAGATGTCACTAAAGTGATGAAATGGTTTTCTCTTCTTTGCAGATTTATATGTTTGATATTTTAAAGTTTACTTTCCAAATGTCCTGTAACGATGACGTATGGTTTAATATTCAGGAAAATTATTGTTAGTTTTCCTTTTCCATTGAAGGAATAATGTGCCTATGTGTATGATCCAGAATTTTATTCTGTGAAGAATGAAGAATGAAAATGAGGCCACTAGAAATACCTTAGGCTGTTTTTCTTTATGAAGAATAAAAGGGAAACTCAATAGCACCAGCCCTCTGCCATGTGTTATGAGAGTGTGTTAAATCTGACGTTGCTTTAAGAAATAGCGGCTGTAGAGAAAATGAAGCAAGGTGGAGAAAACAAACAACTGGGAGAAACTGAAGGAAAAATCACAGAGTGGTATGGAGGAATTGGGAAGAACAGGTATATTCTTTATTTAAACTGGAATTTTCCAGGTATTAGTGATTAAGAAAAGGCTCAAGTGCAGCCCATACTTGGCTACCATTCAAGAATTAAGTGGTATTCACTTTTCCTTTTGTTGGGTCACATTAGTGTTGTGGACTCTGTTATGTGTTTTTCTTATTTTAATCCACTAGTCAGTGGGGGAAGTGGGGATCTGTGGATTTGTTTACTAACGAAGAAATGTATCAGTTAGACATTATTCTGCTGCCGGTAATAAAGACCTCAGAATCAGTGGCTGAAACAAATTGGGCATTTAGTTTTCTTTTGTGTAAAAATTTGAGGTAAGTAGCCTAGGGCCAGTGTGTTGGTCTATGATGTCATTATAGACCTGTACTCCTCAATTCTTCTGCTTTCTTTATGATGAGATCTTTTTTTTTTTTTAAGACGGAGCCTCACTCTGTCGGCCAGGCTGGAGTGCAGTGGCATGATCTTGGCTTACTGCAATCTCTGCCTCCCTAGCTCAAGTAATTCTCTTGCCTCAGCCTCCCGGGTAGCTGGGATTACAGGTGTGTGCCACCACGCCTGGCTAATTTTTGTATTTTTAGTAGAGATGGGGTTTCACCATGTTGGCCAGGCTGGTCTCGAACTCCTGACCTCAGGTAGTCCAGCCGCCTCGGCCTCCTAAAGTGCTGGGATTATAGGCGTGAGCCACTGTGCCAGCCTATGATGAGATCTTTACCTTCATGTTCTCCTGGTAGATGCCTAAGCCCAATAATTGTGTCTGAATGTCTTACGGAAGGAAGAGGGAGTGAGAGCGAGGGGCACAAAGGGCTTGTGCCTGCTGAGGTAGCCCTTCCAAGCTGTCTCCTGGGAGCTCTACTCAGCGATGACTGCTCACCTTTCATTGGCCAGAACCCTGTACTATGACCATCCTTAGCTGTAAGAGAAGCTGGAAATGCAGTTTTCATTCAGCTATATTGCTCTTTCTGTTAAATGAGGTTCGTTATTAAGGAAGGTGAAACTAGATCCTGAGTACTTAGGCAGTCTCTGCCATAAAAGTTTATTACAAGCCACGATGACTTTGAAATGCTGTGTTATACTGTATTATATACAATTTAAAGAGTTGAATTTGTTGGCTGGGCACGGTGGCTCATGCCTGTAATCCCAGCCGTATAGGAGGCCGAGGCGGGTGGATCACAAGGTCAGGAGATTGAGACCATCCTGGCTAACACGGTGAAACCCCATCTCTCCTCAAAAAATACAAAAAATTAGCCCGGCATGGTAGCGGGCACCTGTAGTCCCAGCTACTTGAGAGGGTGAGGCAGGAGAATGGCGCGAACCCGGGAGGCAGAGCTTGCAGTGAGCCGAGATCGCGCTACTGCACTCCAGCCTGGGCGATAGAGCAAGACTCTGTCTCAAAAAAAAAAAAAAAAAGAAAAGTTGAATTTGTCAAGGGGCTTAATAGTCTGGAAAATATGAATAAAGTAGTAGAGATTATTCTTTTTCTTTTTCTTTTTTTTTTATGGAGGCGGAGTTTTGCTCTTGTCGCCTAAACTAGAGTGCAATGGCGCGATCTCAGCTCACTACAACCTCTGCCTCCTGAGTTCAAGGGATTCTCCTGCCTCAGCCTCTGTAGTAGCTGGGATTATAGGCGCCCACCACCACGCCTGGCTAATTTTTATATTTCATTTTAGTAGAGATGTTTCACCATGCTGGCCAGGCTGGTCTTGAACTCCTGACCTTAGGTGATCTGCTTGCCTCGGCCTCCCAAAGTGCTGGGATTACAGGCGTGAGCCACTGTGCCTGGCCATAAAGTAGTATAGATTATTGTGTTTTAAATTTTTCATATGTAAAAATGACAGATTCTGAGCATGGGATATGACTGTTTTAGTAAATGTTGAGATAATTGGTCTCCTTTAAAGAGGGGCGTCATATGGTTTGGGTCCCCTTTAGGATTTTCTACAAGAGCCACATGTAGATATGTAAAATAAAATTAATATTTCTGTTTAGTTTGTTTGTTTTTTTTTAAAAATGCATATCTGTGAGTATATCCTGTACTTCCTCTATGCCAGTATTTTTTAAAACATCTTCTTGACAGGGAGTGTTTTAAAAAAATAGGAAATATAGTTACCAAATTACTGACTTTCCTAGGTGTTGGGAGATAGAGGGAAGTTTCTCCCTCCCTGATTATATAAAAAGTGTGTAGTGAGAGTTGACTTTCTGGTTTATCGTTTGGCCACGTGGCTTCAGAAACAATAGAGCCAGCATGGGTTAGAATTTTCATTCTCACGCTTGAACCCCGGCCCTGTGATTATGAGCTGTGAGGTCTTGGCAAGTTATCTGTCTTTGCTACAGTCCCCTCATTTATAAAACAGTGTTGATAATAGTTGATAGTAGTGTTTAGCTGGTAGGACAAAATGAGGTGACATAAATAAAACACCTCGTACAGGGCCTGCTCCCTGGTATGTACTGAGTCAGCGTTAGCTGCAGCAGGTGGCAGTACTAAAGCAAAGCAAGACAGAAGTCTCCAGGCCTTAATGAGCTAGTTACTCACCAGCTGATTCTGATCGAGAGAATTGTGAAGAATTCTGTTCTGCGGTTGCCATTTTAAGTTTGTCCAGCCTGCAGCCCTGCGATTTATACTCTTTGACATCTGTCAGAGCCATGAAGAATGTTTGTTTAGGAGTCACTGCTTAAGAAAATGCTTCTGCTGTTTTTGAGAAATATACCACTATCTTCTTGTCAGTAAGATCCTGCCGTGTGCGGTGCCAGGACAGAAGTGACCTCATGGGATATGACTCAAGAAGTAGTCCTTTTTTTTTTTTTAAAAAAGATAGAGTCTTGCTCTGTCACCTAGACTGGAGTGCAGTGGTGCAATCTCGGCTCACTGCAACCTTCGTCTTCTGGATTCAAGCAATTCTGGTGCCTCATTCTCCCAAAAAGCTGGGACTACAGGCATGCGCCACCATGGCCAGCTAATTGTATTTTTAGTAGAGGCAGGGTTTTGCCAAGTTGCCCAGGCTGGTCTCGAACTTCTGAGCTCAAGCGATCTGCCCACTCCCAAAGTGCTGAGATTACAGCCTGAGCCACTGCATCTGGCCGATAGTCTCTTTGTCATGATTTTAAAAATCATCTTGTTGGCCAAGACCACGTCTGCCCTGTGAGCACAGACCCTTGCCCTCGCTTCTCTGCCGCTTGTCCACACCCGCTGCCAGCTCACCATAGATGATGATATTGCTGTGCCCATTGTCAACAATGACTCCAGCATGTGCAAGGGTGGCTTCGCAGGCGACGATGCCCCCCGGGCTGTCTTCCCCTCCATCGTGTGGCACCCCAAGCACCAGGGTGTGATGATGGGCATGGGTCAGAAGGACTCCCATGTGGGCGACTAGGCCCAGAGCAAGAGAGGCATCCTGACCCTGAAGTGTCCCATCGAGCATGGCATCGTCACCAACTGGGATGGCATGGAGAAGACCTGGCACCACACCTTCTATAAGGAGCTGCATGTGGCTCCTGAGGAGCACCCCATGCTGTGACCGAGGCCCCCCTGAACCCCAAGGCCAGCCGCACGAAGATGACCCAGATCATGTTTTAGACCTTCAACACCCCAGCCATGTACATGGCCATCCAGGCCATGTGTCCCTGTATACCTGTGGCTGTACCACTGGTATCATGATGGACTCCGGTGATGGGGTCACCCACAGTGTGCCTATCTATGAGGGGTATGCCCTCCCCGACGCCATCCTGTGTCTGGACCTGGCTGGCCGGGACCTGACTGAGTACCTCGTGAAGATCCTCACTGAGTGGGATTTCATGCATGACATCAAGGAGAAGCTGTGCTGTGTTGCCCTGGACTTCGAGCAGGAGATGGCCATGGTGGCCTCCAGCTCCTCCCTGGAGAAGAGCTGCGAGCTGCCTGATGGCCAGGTCATCACCATTGGCAATGAGCGGGCCTGCTGCCCCGAGGCACTCTTACAGCTTTCCTTCCTGGGCATAGAATCCTGTGGCATCCATGAAACTACCTTCAACTCCATTATGAAATGTGACGTGGATATCCACAAAGACCTGTATGCCAACACAGTGCTGTCTGGCGGCACCACCATGTACCCTAGTGTTGCCAGCAGGATGCAGAGGGAGATCACCGCTCTGGCGCCCAGCACGATGAGGATCAAGATCATTGCTCCTCCCGAGCGCAAGCACTCTGTGTGGATTGGTGGCTGCATCCTGGCCTCGCTGTCCACCTTCCAGCAGGTGTGGATCAGCAAGTAGGAGTATGATGAGTCTGGCTCCATCGTCCATCTTCCAAATGCTTCTAGGCAGACTGTGACTTAGTTGTGTTACACCCTTTCTTGACAAAACCTAACTTGTGCAGAAAAGAAGATAAGATTGGCATGGCTTTATTTGTTTTTGTTTTGTTTTTGTTTTTGTGTTTTTGTGGTTTGAATCAGGATTTAAAAACTGAAACGGGGGGTGACAGCAGTTGGTTGGAGCGAGCATCCACCAAAGTTCTACAACGTGGCCGAGGACTTTGTTTCTTATTTGTACATTGTTCTTTTTTTTACTAGTCATTCCAAATATCGTGAGATGCATTGTTACAGGAAATTGTTTGCCCTCCTAAAAGCCACCCCACTTCTCTCTAAGGAGAATGGCCCGGTCCTGTCCTAAGTCCACACAGGGGAGGTTTCGTGTGATTTATGTAATGCAAAATTTTTAAAATCTTTGCCTTAATACTTTTTTATTTTGTTTTATTTTGAATGATCAGCCTTCGTGGCCCCCCTCTTTTGTCCCCCAACTTGAGATGTATGAAGGCTTTTGTTCTCCCTGGGAGTGGGTGTATGCAGCCAGGGCTTACCTGTACACTGACTTGAGACCAGTTGAATAAAAGTGCACACCTTAAAAAAAAAATCGCCGGGTGCGGTTGCTCATGCCTGTAATCCCAGCACTTTGGGAGGCTGAGGCGGGTGGATCACCTGAGGTCAGGAGTTCAAGACCAGCCTGGCCAACACAGTGAAACCCCGTCTCTACAAAAAAAGAAAAAAAAAACAACCCAGAATTAGCTGGGCACGATGGCGGGTGCCTGTAATCTCAGCTGCTGGGGAGGCTGAGGCGGAAGAATCGCTTGAACACTATGCCAGTTATATTTGTTGAATTATTTGCTCCAGTTGTGGCCTTTCTTTTCACTATTTTGTTTGTCTTATTTACATTGCTTATTTAATGAACTTTTTTTTGAGACGGAGTCTGGCTTTGTCGCCCAGGCTGGAGTGCAGGGGCCGGATCTCAGCTCACTGCAAGCTCCGCCTCCATTCCAAACTCACCCAGCAGTCAACAACTGCAACATTAACAACACTGCTCAGGGACCACTCCCTTGTAGTCCTTTCCTGCTATGCCACTCCCATCACTCTGGGGTGGCCTGAATTTTGTGTTTGATTTTTACTTTGTAAAAAATAGTTTTCTCAGGCATGCACATATTTTAACACAATATGTTTAGTTTGGCGTACTTTTGACCTTATTAAAAATAGTATCACTTTATGTAGTTTTCTGGGACTTTGATTTTTCACCCAACAGTATTTCCCAGTTGATACATACTATTTTGTAAGCTATTGTAATGTTCATTCATTTTCTTTGCTGTATAATATTCTACTTTGTGAATATACACCTCTTTTTATTCTGCTGCCAGTGAACATTTTCTTTCTTTCTTTTTTTAAAAAATAAATATTGCTGGCCGGGCGCGATGGCTCAAGCCTGTAATCCCAGCACTTTGGGAGGCCGAGACGGGCGGATCACGAGGTCAGGAGATCGAGACCATCCTGGCTAACACGGGTGAAACCCCCGTCTCTACTAAAAATTACAAAAAACTAGCCGGCGAGGTGGCGGGTGCCTGTAGTCCCAGCTACTCGGGAGGCTCGAGGCAGAGAATGGCATGAACCTGGGAGGCGGAGCTTGCAGTGAGCCGAGATCCGGCCACTGCACTCCAGCCTGGGTGACAGAGCAAGACTCCGTCTCAAAAAAAAAAATAAATAAATAAATATTGCTGCTATGAAACACATTCCATACATGGTACCCTGGTCTACACGTGTAAAAGTTTCTTTTTTTTTTTTTTTTTGAGACGAGCTGGCTGTCGCCCAGGCTGGAGTGCAGGGGCGGATCTCAGCTCACTGCAAGCTCCGCCTCCCGGGTTTTACGCCATCTCTCCTGCCTCAGCCTCACCGAGTAGCTGGGACTACAGGCGCCCGCCACCTCGCCTAGCGTAGTTTTTCATTATTTTTTAGTAGAGACGGGGTTTCACCGTGTTAGCCAGGATTGGTCTCGATCTCCTGACCTCGTGATCCGCCCGTCTCAGCCTTCCAAAGTGCTGGGATTACAGGCTTGAGCCACCGCGCCCGGCTAAAAGTTTCTTGAAGTATTTACGTAGGAATGGAAATGCTGGCTCATAGAGTGTTTAACTTTACCAGATACTGTTGAATTGCTTTTCTGAGTTTGTATCACTTTATATTCCTTAGCACTGCGTATCATTTTTGTTTTTTTTTGAGACAGGGTCTTGCCGTGTCAACCAGGCTGGAGTACAATGGTGCGATCTTGGCTCACTGTAACCTCAGATTCCTGGGCTCAGGTGGTCCTCCCACCTCAGCCTCCTGAGTAGCAGGGACCACAAGCTTGCACCATCATACTGGACTAATTTTTATATTTTTTATCAAGACGGTGTTTCGCCATGGTGCCCAGGCTTATCTCAAACTCCTGGGCTCGAGTGACCGCCTGCCTCGGCCTTCCAAAGTATTAGGATTATAGGCGTGTGCTACTGTGCCCAGCTTATAATCATTATTAAGACAGCTTTATTGAGCTATAATTTATATAATACAAAATTCACCCATTTTAAGTGTATACGTCAGTGATTTTCATGCAGCCATCACCAGTCTAGTCGCAGAACATTTCCAACAGCTTTAAAAGCTTCTTCATGCTGATCCAGTCTTCACACTTAATGTATTACGACTTGATGTCATTCCTGTGCCTGTAAAATATGTCATGTGAATTTGCACCTCTCTGATTAAAAATGGCTTAGAATATCTTTTCATGTCTTTATCGGCCATTCATATTCCTGTCTTTATGAACTGTCCTCTATTTTCCTATTAGATTGTTTGGCTTTTTTAAAATTTGGAATTCTTTGTTTATTCTGGATACCAAAACTATGCCAGTTATATTTGTTGAATTATTTGCTCCAGTTGTGGCCTTTCTTTTCACTATTTTGTTTGTCTTATTTACATTGTCTTATTTAATGAACAAATGTTTTAATTTTAATTTTAATAGATTTTTACTAATTTATTTAGTTTTTTAAAATTTCTCATTGTTCCTGGACTGATTAGATTCTGTCTTACAATGTTGGGTATTCTATCCTCAGTCTTGCTTAACTTACCTTTCAGACTTTCAATCTCATTGTGTTTCTGTACTGTACTATGTTAATGTCCTAAATATTATTTGCTGGTTAACTACTTTTCTTGCTTGTTAATACTGGTTAACTGCTTCTCTTATTTAACTCTTTCACTGAGTTTTTAGTTTAATGATGATATATTTCTTTTTGAGTTCACCTCTCCCTTCAGGTTGGACTGGACATTCCAAATAGTTTATTTTTCTTTGCTTGTCTTAGTGATTCTATTTTTTATTTCTTTAAACATTTCTTATTCCTTGACGACAGAATAAGACAATTCAGTATTGGTGGTCCTACCTGAGGGGCTGTTCTGAACAATTTGTTCGTTATTTCTGCTATCTCTCTGCGGTGTTGGCTTTTTTCCCTGGTACGCACAGTGATCTTTGTTTGTATGCTTAGACTTGATCTTAATTTGTGGAATAATTCTGGATCTAAATGTATGATTCTTTTCTCCCAAGAGGATTGCAGTTTTTTCTGCCTGGAACCAGGAAACTCCATTAACTTCACACTCTCAGTAGTCTAGACTCAAGGTGGGAGTCTCAAGCTCTCTGCAGTCTTTTATTTGACTGGACGTTTTCCCCCTTTTTTCTCTGTCCTTTTTGCACTCATATTTGCCTTTATCTTTTTTTGTGACACTTTCACTGCAGAATTATTTTGTTTCTTTCAAAACTTGCTATATGATGGTTATTGTTGAGAATTCTAGAACACAAAGCACTGCTGTAAAATCGTAGGTATTTGATGTATAAAAATGCAAAAGGGAAAATAGTTTCATTTTAAAATACAGATTTAGGGAATATAAAACATTTATAAAAAAGAAGCAGCAAAAAAGCTATCATGTCAAACATTGTAATTAACTATAAGCAAAATGTACTCCATATGAGCCTAATCTTACTGTGTAAAGATCCAGGGAAATCCTCAGTCTATTTTAAAGTGTAGACCACAGCTTTCAATTTAGGTATTAGAAGGCTATTTTCTTTTGTGGTGTGAAATGGACTGAATTTTGAAATCTTTAAAGAACTAACCAAATTTTATTTTTTTCTCCATGCACATTACCTTTGAAACTTCAAGGGCTTGTTCCAGCTGTATGAATTTGTGGCAGTATTTTATATTAGCCTAGCTTTAAGTTGCCAGCACAGTAGTAGAGTTTGGTGGATGGTCTTTTCTTTAAAGACACAGTCTTCTAATCTGTGCTTGGATAAGAGTCCCAAAACGGGATAATACAAGTCAAATGAAGAAAGGCATACATTTGTCTGTTGTTTTCCCTTTGACACAGGGTCTCATTTTGTTACCCAGGCTAGAGTGCAGTAGCACCATCATTGCTCCCTGCAGCCGTGACCTCCTGAGCTCAAACCATTCCCCCACCTCAGCTTCCCTAGTAGCTGGGACTACAGGCACGTGCCACTACGCCTGGCTATTTTTTTTTTTTGGACAATTTTTTTTTTTTTTCCCCCTGGTAGAGATAGGGTCCCACTATGTTACCCAGGCTGGTTTTGAACTCGGGCTCACCCCATCTCTACTAAAAATACAAAAAATTAGCTGGGCGTGGTGGTGGGCACTTGTAGTCCCAGCTACTTGGGAGGCTGAGGCAGGAGAATGGCGTGAACCTAGGAGGCGGAGCTTGCAGTGAGCTGAGATCACGCCACTGCACTCCAGCCTGGGTGACAGAGCGAGACTCCATCTTAAAACAACAACAACAACAACAACAACAACAACAACAACAACAAAAACTCTTGGGCTCAAGCAGTCCTCCTGCCTTGGCCTCCCAAAATGATATGGGTTTACAAGCGTGAGCCACCACGCCTGGCCAAATTTGTCTTTTTAAAATTCTTAAAAATGAGTATTTTTTATTTAAAAATTTTAAGTGTTTTTACCCTTAAAAATCAAGAAATGGCTGGGTGCGGTGGCTCACACCTGTAATCCCAGCACTTTGGAAGGCCGAGGCGGGCGGATCATGAGGTCAGGAGATTGAGACCATCCTGGCTAACATGGTGAAACCCTGTCTCTACTAAAAATACAGAAAATTAGCCGGACGTGGTGGCAGGCGCCTGTAGTCCCAGCTAGTTGGGAGGCTGAGGCAGGAGAATGACGTGAACCCGGGAGGCAGAGCTTTCAGTGAGCCGAGATTGCGCCACTGCACTCCAGCCTGGGCAACAGAGCGAGACTCTGTCTCAAAAAAAAAAAAAAAAAAAAAAAATTAAGAAATGTGGCTGGGCGCGGTGGCTTGTGCCTATAATCTCAGCACTTTGGGAGGCCGAGGCAGGAGGATCACTTGAGGTCAGGAGATCAGCCTGGCCAACATGGTGAAACCCTGTCCTACTAAAACAAACAGAAATTAGCTGGGTCTGGTGGCACGTGCCTATAATCCCAGCTACTCAGGAGGCTGAGGGCAGGAGAATTGCTTGAACCCGGGAGGTGGAGGTTGCAGTGAGCAGAGATCATGCCATTGCACTCCAGCCTGGCTGACAGAGTGAGACGCCATCCCTCC